CAATGTGACATCTTTGCTTTTTAACACATTAAAGAGATCTTTTGCAGATTTGCCAAATGCAATACATTGTTTGATTTCTTGACCATTGCTGTCATGGGGACTGATTATGGATCCTAGTAAAATGAAATCTTTGACAATTTCAATGTTTTCTCCACCTGTCATCTTCGACAACTTCAATCTTTTCTCCATTTATCATGATGTTGCTTATTGGTCCAGTTGTGAGGATTTTTGTTTTCTTTATGCTGAGGTGTAATCCATACTGAAGGCTGTGGTATTTGATCTTCATCAGTAAGTGCTTCAAGTCCTCTTCATTTTCCACAAGCAAAGCTGAGTCATCTGCATAAAGCAAGTTGTTAATGAGACTTCCTCCAATCCCCATGCCCCATTCTTCATATAGTCCAGCTTCTCAGACTGTTTGTTCAGCATACAGATTGAATAAATATGGTGAAAGGATACAACCCTGATGCACACCCTTCCTGATTTTAAACCACACAGTATCCCCTTGTTCTGTCCGAATGACTGCCTCCTGGTCTAAGTACAGGTTCCTCATGAGCACAGTTAAGTGATCTGAAAGTCCCGTTCTTCTCAATGTTATCCATAATTTGTTATAATCCACAGTCGAATGCCTCTGCATAGTCAATAAAACACAGGTAAACATCTTTCTGGTATTCTCTGCTTTCAGACAAGATCCATCTGACATCGGCAATGATATCCCTCATTCCACATCCTATTCTGAATCTGGCTTGAATTTCTGGCAGTTCCCTGTTGATATACTGCTGCAATCGCTTTTGAGTTATCTTCAGCAAAATTTTACTTGCATATGATATCAATGATATTGTTCAATATTTTCCACATTCTGTTCGATCACCTCTGGAATGGGTGCAAACACGGATCTCTTTCAGTCAGTTGGCCAGGCAGCTGTCTTCCAAATTTCTTGGCAAAGACGAGTGGGCACCTCCAGCACTGCATCCATTTGTTAAAACATCTCAACTGGTATTCTGTCAATTCCTGAAGACTTGCTTTTCGCCAGTGCCTTCAGTGCAGCTTGGACTTCTTCCTTCGATACCATCGATTCTTGATCATATGTTACCTCCTGAAATGGTTTATTGCTGACCAATTCTTTTTGGTATAGTGACTCTGTGTATTCCTTCCATCTTCTTTTTGATGCTTCTTGCGTCTTCAGTATTTTGCCCATAGAATCCTTCAATATTGCAACTCGAGGCTTGAATCTTTTTCTTCAGTTCTTTCAGCTTAAGAAATACTGAGTGTGTTCTTCTCTTTTGGTTTTCTAACTCCAGGTCTTTGCACATTTCATTATAGTACTTTACTTTGTCTTCTCGAGCTGCCCTTTGAAATCTTCTG